TCTGATGAAACCTACCTCAGCTGAATGATCAAGGTTAACAACAACACTGATAAATTATGTATTTTTATGATGTACTGAATGGGACTTTACATGTGTGGTCTTTTCTAATACCATTCTCCAATAAAAGGAAACAGGGTTCCTTGGAGAAATGGCTGATTCTAGGAGTGGGGCAGAACATACACAAGGTGATCCTGAGCATCTGGGAGCACCAGAACATAAGGAAGTGTTCAAAAACAAACAAAAACTTCAAGCAAACCCACATTGATGGAGGTATGTCAAAAGGACATAGCCAACTGAAAAAGCTCCCGATGGCCAGAACCAAAACACCTTGTGTTATAAAATAATGTTGATTCTCTGTACCCTTGACTTGATATTATCAAAGTAGCACTTTCCCCCTGTGGTCTTCTTCCCAAAACCCCATAACTCCACAATCTAATCATGGAAAAAAAATCAGTCAAATGCCAATAGAGGAGCATGCTATAATACACCTAGCCAGTGCTCCTCAAAACTGTCAAGATCATCAATAACAAGGAAAATCTGAGCAACTGTCATAATCAAGAAGAACCTAGAAAGACAGGACAACTAAATGTAATGTGGTATCTAGGATGGGACCCCAAAACAGAAAGAGGCCACTAGACAAAAATCAAGGACATTTAAATAAAGAATATACTTTAGTTAATACTGTTTCATTAGTTGTAATACTTGTACTATATTAATGTAAAATGTTAATAAAAGAGGAAACTGGGTATGTAGTATAGGGGAACTTTCTAGTATCTCCTCAGTTTTTCTATAAATCAAAAACAGGTCTGTTTTTTTTGGAGAAAGAAGGAAGATGAGGGAGTGGGAGCATTCTGAGCTCACCATCTCCCAGGGACAAGCCAAGGCAACACCTACATATACCACAGCTCACTCTGAAAATGACCTGAAGACTGAGAGAACAGACCTTCCACACCTTAAGTCATGAGAAGGCCACACTGAATAGCAGAGGAGGAGCAGAGATGCAGCTGAGAACCAACCCACCAGCATGGCTACCCACGAGCAGGAGGGAGCAGTGAAGGGATTGAGCCCCACACCAGGGATGCCTGGCCCTGAGGACCTGCACTGGGAAGATAAGTCATCATACAGTCTGGCTTTAAAATTCAGCAGGGTTCAGAGTGCCTGGGTGGCTCAGTCAGTTAAGTGTCTGACTTTGGCTTAAGTCATGATCTCATGGTTCATGAGTTCAAGCCCTGCTGACAGCTCAGAGCCTGGAGACTGCTTCAGATTCTGTGTCTTCCTCTCTCTACCCTTCCCCTGCTCATGCTGTCTCTTTCTCTCGCTCTCTCAAAAATAAACAAACATTGAAAAAATTTTAAAAATCAGTAGGGCTGAACTCCCAGAGAGACAGAGGAGCTAAAGGAAACCAAGTCTCTGCTTTAAAGAGCCAGCAGACTGTATCACCCAAGAAGGGTCCGAGCACAGAAGTAGAAGTTTGAGAAGCACCTGGGTTACGCATGAAGGAGATTTACTGACTAATTTTAGTATCTGTGTCACACAGGTGGGGATCTGCAGGAACTTTCTTCAGCCCACATAACCCAATGCTTGTGGGAGCCAGTCCTGACATTACCTGCCATGCTAGCACCATTTGCCCTGCCCTGGCACTCCCCTTCAGACATGCCTCACCCAATCTGCCTACCCAGGCAGGCACCCCTCAAAGCGGCTCCCACCCCACCACACCCAGCAAGCACCCTCAGATGGGACCGGTGTCTTCCCAAAGCAACTACTGCCCAGAATGGGGAATAGCTAACCCCACTCAACAGCATACACACAGTACTTGCAACTGGGCCTCTCAGCAAGCTGTGCTGAAGGAAAGTAGTGCCCACCAGTGCACCCACAGCAGTTGTGTCTGATCACTACAGACAGCAAAGGCCGAGGGCTCTGCCACCCACCAGTGCACCTCCAGATGCTGCAGCAGGACTGCAGGGGACATGTAGGGGATAGGCAGTACCCACCAGTACACCTGCAACTGTCACAGCTCAGACACACCAGAAGGTGCAAGCAGCCCACACAAGGGACGCCACTGCAGCATCTGGTTCTGGTGACCAGGGGTACTGCTCTACAAGGCACCATAGGATGCCTTCTACATGAGGTTACCACTTTCAAGACCAGGAATTTAGCTAACCTACCTAATACATGCAAACAAACACAGAGAGTCAGACAAAATGAGGAGACAGAGAATATGTTCCAAATCAAAGAAGACAAACCACAAAAAAAGCTAAGCTAAATGAAGAAAAGCAATCTACCTGATAAGAGTTCAAATAATAGTCATAAGGATACTAGACTTGAAAGGAAAATGGATGAAATCAGTGAGAATTTCAAAAAAGAGAAAAAAATGTTTTTATTTTATTTTTTATTAATTCTTTTAAATTTTATTTTCTATTTTTTAAAATTCACATCCAAATTAGTTAGCATATAGTGAAACAATGATTTGGGGAGTAGATTCCTTAATGCCCCTTACCCATTTAGCCCATCCCCCTTCTCACAACCCCTCCAGTAACCCTCAGTTTGTTCTCCATACTTATGAGTCTCTCCTGTTTTGTCCCCTCCCTGTTTTTATATCATTTTTGTTTCCCTTCCTTATGTTCATCTGTTTTGTCTCTTAAACTCCTCATATGAGTGAAGTCATATGATTTTGGTCTTTCTCTGACTAATTTCACTTAGCATAATACCCTCCAGTTCCATCCATGTAGTTGCAAATGGCAAGATTTCATTCTTTTTGATTGCCAAGTAATACTCCATTGTGTGTGTGTGTGTGTGTGTGTGTGTGTGTGTGTGTGTGTATGTATATGTATATACACACACACACCACATTTTCTTTATCCATTCATCCATCGATGGATATTTGGGCTCTTTCCATACTTTGGCTATTGTTGATAGTGCTGCTATAAACATGGGGTGCATGTGTCCCTTTGAAACAAAACACCTGTATCCCATGGATAAATGCCTAGTAGTGCAATTGCTGGGTCATAGGGTAGTTCTATTTTTAATTTTTTGAGGAACCTCCACACTGTTTTCCAGAGTGGCTGCACCAGCTTGCATTCAATGCAAAACAATGCAAAAGGATTCCTCTTTCACTGCACCCTTGCCAACATCTGCTGTTGCCTGAATTAATGTTAGCCATTCTGACAGGTGTGAGGTGGTATCTCATTGTGGTTTTGATTTGTATTTCCCTGATGATGAGTGATGTTGAGCATTTTTTCATGTGTCCATTGGCCGTCTGGATATCTTCTTTGGAGAAGTGTCTATTCATGTCTTTTGCCCATTTCTTCACTGGATTATTTGTTCTTTGGGTGTTGAGTTGGATAAGTTCTTTACAGATTTTGGATACTAACTCTTTATTTGATATGTCATTTGCAAATATCCCCTCCCATTCTGTCGGTTGCCTTTTAGTTTTGTTGAATGTTTCCTTCGCTGTGCAGAAGCTTTTTATTTTGATGAGGTCCTAATAATTCATTTTTGCTTTTGTTTCCCTTGCCTCCAGAGCCGTGTTGAGTAAGAAGTTGCTGCGAGCAAGAACAAAGAGGTTTTTGCCTACTTTCTCCTCGAGGATTTTAATGGCTTCCTGTCTTACATTGAGGTCTTTCATCCATTTTGAGTTTATTTTTGTGTATGGTGTAAGAAAGTGGCCCAGGTTCATTCTTCTGCATGTCGCTGTCCACTTTTCCCAGCACCACTTGCTGAAGAGACTGTCTTTATTCCATTGGATATTCTTTCCTGCTTTGTCAAAGATTAGTTGGTCATACGTTTGTGGGTCCATTTCTGGGTTCTCTATTCTGTCCCATTGATCTGAGTGTCTGTTCTTGTGCCAGTACCACACTGCCTTGATGATTACAGCTTTGTAGTATAGCTTGAAATCTGGGATTGTGATGCCTCCTGCTTTGGTTTTCTTTTTCAAGATTGCTTTGGCTATTCGGGGTCTTTTCTGGTCCCATACAAATTTTAGGATTATTTGTTCTAGCTCTGTGAAGAATGCTGATGTTACTTTGATAGGGACTGCATTGGATATGTAGATTGCTTTGGGTAGTATCGACATTTTAACAATATTTGTTCTTCCTATCCAGGAGCATGTAATCTTTTTCCATTTTGTTTGTGTCTTCTTCAATTTCTTTCATCAGCTTTCTATGGTTTTCAGTGTATAGATTTTTCACCTCTTTGCTTAGATTTACTCCTAGGTATTTTATGGTTTTTTGTGCAACTGTAAATGGGATCAATTCCTTGATTTCTTTGTCGCTTCATTGTTGGTGTATAGGAATGCAACTGATTTCTGTAAATTGATTTATATCCTGCAACTTTGCTGAATTCATGAATCAATTCTAGCAGTTTTTTGGTGGAATCTTTTGGGTTTTCCATATAGATAATCATGTCATCTGCGAAGAGTGAAAGTTTGACCACCACCCCCCCCACCGGCCACTTTGGATGCCTTTTATTTCTTTGTGTTGTCTGATTGCTGAGGCTAAGACTTCCAATACTATGGTGAATAACCGTGGCAAGAGTGGACATCCCTGTCTTGTTCCTGACTTTAGGGGGAAAGCTCTCAGTTTTTCCCCATTGAGGATGATATTAACATTGGGTCGTTCATATACGGCTTTTATGATCTCGAGGTATGATGCTTCTATCCCTACTTTCTTGAGGGTTTTTGTCAAGAAAGGATGCTGTATTTTGTCAAATGCTTTCTCTGCATCTATTGAGAGGATCATATGGTTCTTGTCCTTTCTTTTATTGATGTGATGAATCACGTTAATTGTTTTGTGGATATTGAACCAGCCCTGCATCCCAGGTATAAATTCCACTTGGTTGTGTGAATAATTTTTTTAAAGTACTGTTGGGTTGAGGATTTTTGCATCCATGTTCATCAGGGAAATTGGTCTATAGCGTGGTCTCTGCATGGTTTTGGAATCAAGGTAATGCTGGCTTCATAGAAAGAGTTTGGAAGTTTTCCTTCCATTTCTATTTTTTGGAACAATTTTAAGAGAATAGGTATTAACTCTTCCTTAAATGTTTCGTAGAATACCCCTGGAAAGCCATCTGGCCCTGGACTCTTGTTTTTTGGCAGATTTTTGATTACTAGTTAGATTTCCTTAGAGAAAAAATATTTTTCAAAAGTCAGAGTTTAAGAATACATTTACTGAAATAAAAAATACACTAGAGGGAATAAACTTCGGGATTAGAGAGTGAAGAAAAATGGATCAGTAATCTGGAAGATAGGGTAGTGAAAAGCAACAAAGCTAAAGAGGAAAAAAATTTTTTTTTCAAATGAGGATGGGTCAAGGGACATCTAGGACAGTATCAAACATAATAACATTTGCATTCATATGAAGAAAAGGATAGAATTTGGAAGAAATTTGTTTGAAGAAATAATAACTAAAAACTTCCTAATCTGAGGAAGGAAATAGACATCCAGGTCCAAGAAGCACAGAGAGCCAGCCCCAAACAAGATGAACCCAAGGAGGTCCACACCAAAACACATAATAACTAAAACAGGAAAAAGTAATGATAAAGAGAGATTCTAAAAAGTAGCAAGAGAAAAGCAAACAGTTACATATAAGGGAAAGCCCAGAAGACTATCAGCTGATTTTTCAGCAGAAACTTTGCAGGTCAGAAGAGAGTGGCAGGATATATTCAAAGTGCTGAAGAGAAAAAAAACAACACCTAAGAATATTCTATATCTTGCAAGGTTATCATTAAGAACTGAAGGAGAGATGGTTTCCCAAACAACAGTTTAAAAACTTCATCACCACTGAACTGGCCTTACAAGAAATGTTAAAGGGACGTCTTGAAATGGGAAAGAAAAGACTGTAACTAAAAGAAAATTACAAAAGGAAGAAAATTGCTATAGAGAACAAACTGAGGGTTACCAGAGGGGAAGTTGTGAGGGAGAATGGGTGAAATAGGTGATGGGGATTAAGTAGTGCACTTGTCATGATGAGCACTGGGGGTTGTGTGAAATTATTGAATTACTGTATAATACACTTGAAACTAATATAACACTGTTAACTCAAATTAATATAAAAACTTTTTAAAAAGAAAGAAAATTAACTGGTAAAAGCAAACACACAGGTCACTTATAAAACTACTATTAAAGTGAAAACATGAAAGTACTATCAATTATATCTACAAAAAAATTGTCAATAGCTACACTTACAAAAAGACAAAATATGGTATCCCATACACAAAATGAGAAGAATGAACATGTAAAACTTTTAAGAATGTGTTCAAAAAGTTATATACAAACCTCATGGTAACCATAAATCAAAACCTTATAAAAGACACATAAAAATAAAGAAAAAGAATTCAGATTTAACACTAAAAAAGTCATCAATCACAAGGAAAGAGAACAGGAGAAGAAGAAAGGAAAAAAGAATTACCAAAAGAAAAAAAAGAAGAGTAAAAAATGGGGTACCTGGGTGGCTCAGTTGGTTAAGCATCTGACACTTGATTTCAGCTCATGTCATGATCTCATGGTTCATAGGATCAGGCTCTGGACTGACAGTGCGGAACCTGCTTGGGATCTTCTCTCTCCCCCTCTCTCTGCCCCCTCCCCTGCTCATGCTGTCTGCCTGTCTGTCTGTCTCTATCTCTCTCTCAAAACAAACATTTCAAAAAGAAATGAAAAGAAAAACGAAAACAAAATGGCAATAAATACATATCTATCAATACTTACTATAAAGTAAACAGACTAAATGCCACAATCAAAAGATGGGTGACTGAATGGATAACAAAACAGGACGTCTCTCTACATGCTGCCTACAAGTGACTCACTTTAAATCTAAACATACATACAGACTGAAAGCAAAAAAAAAAAAAAAAAAAAAAAAAAAGGAAAAAGACCATCCATGTAAATGGAAACAAAAATAATAATAATCTGAGGTAGCAATGCTTTATCAAATATACTTTAAAACAAAGCTGTAACACTCTCAACAATAGCCAAATTATGGAAAGAGCCTAAATGTCCATCAACTGATGAATGGATAAAGAAATTGTGGTTTATATACACAATGGAGTACTACGCGGCAATGAGAAAGAATGAAATATGGCCCTTTGTAGCAACGTGGATGGAACTGGAGAGTGTGATGCTAAGTGAAATAAGCCATACAGAGAAAGACAGATACCATATGGTTTCACTCTTATGTGGATCCTGAGAAACTTAACAGAAACCCATGGGGGAGGGGAAGGAAAAAAAAAAGAGGTTAGAGTGGGAGAGAGCCAAAGCATAACAGACTCTTAAAAACTGAGAACAAACTGAGGATTGATGGGGGGGTGGGGGGGAGGGGAGGGTGGGTGATGGGTATTGAGGAGGGCACCTTTTGGGATGAGCACTGGGTGTTGTATGGAAACCAATTTGACAATAAATTTCATATATTGAAAATAAAAAAATAAAATAAAATAATAAAATAAAATAAAATAAAATAATATAAAATAAAATAAAATAAAATATAAAATAAATAAAATAAAATAAAACAAAGCTGTAACAAGAGAAAAAGGGCAGTATATAATGATAAAAGGACCAACCCAACAAGAAGACACGTTCATAAATATCTATACATCCAATATAGAAGCACATCAAAATATTAAGCAAATGTTAACAGATTTAGAAGGAACTGGTAGTCATACAGTAATAGTAGAGGCTTTAACACCAAACCTGTATCAATGGATAGATCGCCCAGGCAGAAAATAAGTAAGGTGGCTTTGAATAACATATTAGACCAGATGGACTTAACAGATATATACAGAACATCCCATCCAAATTTTTTCTTGGGATTATTTCAAGTTTCATAGTGTTGTGGTCTGAAAATATGCATGGTATGATCTTGATCTTTTTGTACCTGTTGAGAGCTGATTTGTGACCTAGTATGTGATCTATCCTGGAGAATTTTCCACGTGCACTTGAGAAAAATGTGTATTCTGCTGCTTTAAGATGAAATGTTCTGAATATATTTGTTAAGTTCATCTGTTCCAGTGTATCATTCAAAGCCACTGTTTCCTTTTTGATTTTCTGCTTAGATGATCTGTCCATTGCTGTAAGTGAGGTATTAAAGTCTCCTACTATTATGGTATTATCAATGAATTGATTTATGTTTGTGATCAACTGATTTATATATTTGGGTTCTTTCAAATTGGGGGCATAAATATTTATAATTCTTAGATCTTCTTGATGGATAAACCCCTTAGTTATTCCCTTCTTTATCTCTTGTTATAGTCTTTGTTTTAAAAAACAGAGAGGGAGGCAACCCATAAGAGACTCTTAACTACAGAGAACAAACTGAAGGTTGCTAGAGGGGAGGTGGGGGAAGGGAAGGGCTAAATGAGTGATGGGCATTAAGGAAGGCACGTGTTGCAATGAGCACTAGGTGTTATATGTAAGCAATGAATCACTGGGTTCTACTCCTGAAACCAATACTACACTACATGTTACCTAACTTGAACTTAAATTAATGTTTAAAAAGAAAAAAAGAAAAATTCAACATCTGAAAAAGTTTTTTAAAAAAACATTCTATCCAAGAGCTCACCAAACTCCACACCCAAAAAACAAATAATCCAGTGAAGAAACGGGCAGAAAGCATGAATAGACACTTCTCTAAAGAAGACATCCAGATGGCCAACAGGCACATGAAAAGATGCTCAATGTCGCTCCTCATCAGGGAAATACAAATCAAAACCACACTCAGATATCACCTCATGCCAGTCAGAGTGGCCAAAATGAATAAATCAGGAGACTATAGATGCTGGAGAGGATGTGGAGAAATGGGAACCCTCTTGCACTGTTGGTGGGAATGCAAACTGGTGCAGCCGCTCTGGAAAACAGTGTGGAGGTTCCTCAAAAAATTAAAAATAGACCTACCCTATGACCCAGCAGTAGCACTGCTAGGAATTTACCCAAGGGATACAGGAGTACTGATGCATAGGGGCACTTGTACCCCAATGTTTATAGCAGCACTCCCAACAATAGCTAAATTATGGAAAGAGCCTAAATGTCCATCAACTGATGAATGGATAAAGAAATTGTGGTTTATATACACAATGGAGTACTACGTGGCAATGAGAAAGAAAGAAATATGGGCTTTTGTAGCAACATGGATGGAACGGGAGAGTGTTATGCTAAGTGAAATAAGTCATACAGAGAAGGACAGTTTACATATGTTTTCCCTCCCATGTGGATCCTGAGAAACTTAACAGAAGACCAGGGGGGAGGGGAAGAAAAAAAAAGTGGTTAGAGAGGGAGGAAGCCAAAGCATAAGAGACTCCTAAAAACTGAGAACTGAGGATTTATGGGGGGTGGGGGGGGTGGGGAGGTGATGGGTATTGAGGGCATCTGTTGGGATGAGCACTGGGTGTTGTATGGGAACCAATTTGGCAATAAATTTCATAATAAAAAAAAAGAAAGAAAAAAACATTCTATCCAAAAAGAGCAGAATATACATTCTTATTAAGTGTACATGCACATTCTTCAGGATAGACCATACGTTAGGCCACAAAACAAGTCTCAATAAATTTAAGAAGACTGAAATTACATTATGCATCTCTTCCAACCACAATGGTATAAAATCAGAAATTAGTTATAATAAAAGAACTAGAAGAAACATAAATGGGGAGGCTAAATAACATGATACTAAACAACCAATGGCTCAACAAAGAAATCATAGAGAAACATAAAAAATACCTGGGACAAGTGGAAATGGAAACACATAACTTCTAAATCTTTGGGACATAGCAAAAGCTGTTCTAAGAGAAAATTTACAGCAATGCAGACCTATGTTAAAAAAAAAAAAACAAAATCTTAAATAAGCAATCTAAACTTACCACTAAAAGGAGCTTGAAAAAGAACAGAGCCAAGTTGGTAGAAGGAAAGAAATAATAAAGATCAGAGAAGAAATAAATGGGGATTAAAAAAATAGAAAAGATCAATGAAAGGTCCCAGTCGGTTAAGCGTCCGACTTTGGCTTAGGTCACCATATCATTGTTCGTGAGTTTGAGCTCCACGTCGGGCTCTGTGCTGACAGCTCAGAGTCTGGAGCCTGCTTCAGATTCTGTGTCTCGCTCTCTCTCTCTTCCCTATTCCATTCACGCTCTGCCTCTTCCCCCTCTCTCAAAAATAAATAAACATTTAAAAAAAAAAGATCAATGAAACTAAGAGGTAGGTCTTTGAAAACATAAAATTGATAAACCTTTAGTCAGACTCAGGGGAAAAAAAGACTCAAATGAAATCACAAATGAAAGAAAATAAACACATTCCAAATACATGAAAGAAACACAAGGAGGGGCGCCTGGGTGGCGCAGTCGGTTAAGCGTCCGACTTCAGCCAGGTCACGATCTCGCGGTCCGTGAGTTCGAGCCCCGCGTCGGGCTCTGGGCTGATGGCTCAGAGCCTGGAGCCTGTTTCCGATTCTGTGTCTCCCTCTCTCTCTCTGCCCCTCCCCCGTTCATGCTCTGTCTCTCTCTGTCCCAAAAATAAATAAACGTTTGAAAAAAAAATTTTTTTTAAAAACGAAAGAAACACAAGGAATTATGAGATTACTACAAAAATTATATGCCAACAAATTAAACAACCTAGAAGTAATGGATAAATTTCTAGACAAACACAATAATCTATGATAATCCATAATCAGGAAGAAACAGAAAATCTGAACAGACCAATTACTAGTAACAAAATTGAATCAATAAACTCCCAATAAACACAAGTCCAAGACCCAATGGCTTCACAAGTGAATGCAACCAAAGACTGAAGATGACTTAATAACTATCCTTCTTAATTATTCCAGAAAATAGAAGAGGAAAGAATGCTTCCAAATTCATTCTATGAGATCAGCATTACCCAGATACAAAAACCAGAAAAAGATACTACAAAAAAAGAAAATTACAGACCAGTATCTCTGATAAACTTAGATGGAAAAATCATCAACAAAATGTTAACTAACCAAATACATTCAAAATGGGAGGCCTACGTGGCTCCGACGGTTAAGCATCTGACTTCGGCTCAGGTCATGATCTGCCAGTTCATGAGTTCAAGCCCTGCATTGGGCTCTGTGCTGACAGCTCAGAGCCTGGAGCATGTTTCAGATTCTGTGTCTCCCTCCCTCTCTCTCTCTCTCTGTCCCTCCCCCACTTGCACTCTGCTCTCTCTCAAAAAAAAAAAAATAAACATTTAAAAAGTACATTAAAGGTATCATTCATCACAATCAAGTGAGATTTATTGGAGGATGCAAAGAGGTGTCAATATATGCAGACTGGTAAACATGATACACCACATTAATGAAAAATCATACAGATGCAGAAAAACCATTTGACAAAACTCAGCATCTCTTCATGACAAAAACTCTCAACAAAGTGGGTCTAGAAGAAACATACTTCAACATCATAAAGACCACACCTTAGAAACCCACAGCTCACATCAGACTCAAGGGTGAAAAGATGAGAGCTTTTCCTCTAAGATTAGGAACAAGGTAAGAATTCCCATCTCCACTTTATTCAATATAGTACTGAAGTCCTAACCACAGCAATCAGATGAAATAAAAGGAATCTGAACTGGTAAGAATAAGTAAAACCATCACTATTTGTGGATAACATGAGACTATATATAGAAAATCCTGAAGACCTCATTAAAAAAAACTGTTAGAATGAATAAATGAATTCCTTAAAGTTTCAGGATACAAAAATCAATAAATGGAAATCTGTTGCATTTCTATACAGCAATAACAAAGTAGCAGTAAAAGAAATGAACAAAACCATACCATTCACAATTACATCAACAAGAATAAAATACCTAGGAATAAACTTAACCAAAGAGGTAAAAGACCATACTCTGAAAACTATGATATTGTTGAAAGAAATAAAAGATGACATAAACAAATGGAAAGATGTACCATGTTCATGGGCTGGAAGAATTGTTAAAATGTCCATATGACCCAAAGCAAACTACAGATTCGATGAGATCCCCATCAAGACAACAATAGTAGGGGTGCCTGGGTGGTTCAGTTGGTTAAGCACCAACTTCAGTTCAGGTCATGGTCTTGTGGTTCATGGGTTCGAGTCCTGCATTGGGCTCTGTGCTGACAGCTCAGATCCTGGAGTCTGCTTTGGATGCTGTGTCTCCCTTTCTCTCTCTGCCCCTCCCCCACTTACGCTCTGTCTCTCTCTGGCTCTCAAAAATAAATGAATGTTAAAAAATGTTTTAAAAAATAGTATTTTTCACAGAACTAGAAAAATTAATCCTAGAATCTGTATGGAACCACAAAAGACCCCAAACAGTCAAAGCAATCTTAAGAAAGAACAAAGTTGGAGGTATCATAAGCCCAGATTTCAAACTATGCTACAAAATTACAGTAATCAATGGGGCGCCTGGGTGGCGCAGTCGGTTAAGCATCCGGCTTCAGCCAGGTCACGATCTCGTGGTCCGTGAGTTCGAGCCCCGCGTCAGGCTCTGGGCTGATGGCTCGGAGCCTGGAGCCTGTTTCCGATTCTGTGTCTCCCTCTCTCTCTGCCCCTCCCCCGTTCATGCTCTGTCTCTCTCTGTCCCAAAAAATAAATAAAAATGTGCAAAATTACAGTAATCAAAACAGTATGGTACTAGCAAAAAACAAAAAACAAAAAAAAACCAACCAACCAACCAAACAGACACACTGATCAATGGAATACAATAAAGGGCCCAGAAATAAACTCATATTTATACTGTCAATCTATGACAAAGCAAGCAAGAATATAGAATGGGGAAAAGACAGTCTCTTCAACAGATGGTGCTGGGAAAACTGGACAGTTACATGGAAAGGAATAAAAGTAGACCAATTTTTTACACCATAAATAAAAATAGTCAATATGGATTAAAGACCTAAATGTGAGACTTGAAAACATAAAACAGAAAAAGCAGGTGGTAATCTAGTGGACATCACCCTTGTAACATTTTTCTGGCTATGTCTACCCAAGTGAGGAAATCAAAAACAAATATAAACAGTGGGGACTATATAAAACTAAAAAGCTTTTGCACAGTGAAGGAAACCATAGACAAGATGAAAAGGCAACTAATGAATGGGAGACTATATTTGCAAATGATATATCCAATAGGGGGTTAATATCTAAGATATATAAAGAACTCCTACAATACCAAAAATAAACTGAACAATCTCATTTAAAAATGAGCAGAGGATCTGAATTGATATTTTTCCAAAGTCAACACAGATGGGAGACACATGAAAAGATGCTCAACATCACTAATCATCAGGGAAATGCAAATCAAAACCACAATGAGATATCACCTCACACTCATCAGAAGGGCTAGTATCAAAAAGACAAGAAATAAGTTTTGGTGAGGACATGGAGAAAAGGAACTCTTGTGCATGGTCAGTGGGAATGTAAACTGGTGCAGCCACTGTGGAAAATAGCACAGATGTTCCTCAAAAAACTAAAAATAGAAGTACCACACAATCCAGTAATCCCACTTCTATATTTACTTGAAAAAAATTAAAAAGACTAATTAGGAAAGATATATACACCTCTATATTTACTGCAGCATTAATTACAATAGTCAAGATATGGAAGCAACTTAAGTGTCCATCAAGACATGAATTAAGAAGATGTGGTATATATACACAATGGAATATCACCCAATGGGAAAAAAGAAATCTTGTCATTTCTTGCCATCCAATATGGAAGGACCTATCAGGTGATATCTAAGTGTAGTAAGTCAAATAAAGACAAATACTTTAGGATTTCACTTATATGTATACTCTAAGAACCACTCAAACAAATAAAAAACACAGACTCATAAATACAGAGAAAAAAATGGTAGGTTCTAGAGGGCAAGGTAGTAGGGAGATGGGTGATATAGGTGAAGGGGATTAAGATACAAACTTCCAAAGTAAATAAGTCACAGAAATGAAAAATACAGCATAGGGAATATAGCCAATAATACTGTATCAACACTGAACTGTAACAGATGGAACTACACTTATCATGGTGAGCATTTTATGTTTAAAGTTTTTGAATCACTATGCTGAACACCTGAAACTGATCTGTCAACTATAGTTCAATTAAAATTAAAAATAAACAAAACTGATCTAAGAACAAAGTCTATTTAAAAAAATGTTTTTCAAAAGTTTTTAAGGTAATCATTCCTTTCCATCCACCCCTGTCAGATATGGTGCAGACTTACTCTGTAGCCTGGGATCAATTTTTCTCTCATTTTTTTTTGTACTCTTATTTATTGTGCAGACCAGGGGAGCATGTGGCCAAATGTGGTCCTGCAGGAAAATTTGGTTTGGCTTGCACAGAGATTTTGTGTTTTAAACTGAGACATGTTCAAATCCAAATATTTCTGGCCTCTCTAAAAATTTGGCAAACTGGGCTAGAATTACATATGCCAACAGTGGCACCAAGGGGCTATGTCCCTTCAGCAGTGCCAGCCCTCCCCGGTTGTCCATAGTCCCTGCCCCTGACCATGCCATCACCTCCTCAATGCTGAGTGTCTCAGGGTCAATCACCATTATTACCAGTTGATTCTGTCACAGGAGATATTCTTATCTCGAAAGTGGGAAACAAAAACATGCCAAATGGGCCATACCTTTTAAGAAATAGGGAGGCAACACTGTTGTATGGAAATAAGAAATGTTTCTATATATTTAATATGTAAAGTATGTATATAAAAGACACCATTAGAAATATAGGTACCACAAGAAATACATGAAACAGGAACATAATTAAAAACCTTAATATATGAAAGCAAATCAGGTTGTAGTTTCAGCTCTTTAAGCTTTAATAAAAATTAAGTAACTGCTTTCACATGGCCAGCTTAAGTATACTACGTGCTTGAAAGCATATGAATTCATGAATCAGTATGGACTGTCTGGGAGTAGCTAGCTTGGGCTCTGCTTATTACAAAGCTACAATAGTCATTGGGTGCCTGGGTAGTTCAGTCAGTTAACCGTCTGACTCTTGATTTTGGCTCAGGTCCTGATTTCACAGTTTTGTTGAGTTCAAGCCCCATGTCAGACTCTGTGCTGGCAGCATGAAGCCTACTTGGGGTTCTCTCTCTTTCTCTCTGCCCCACCCCCACTCACACTGTCTCTCTCTCAAAAAATGTAAATAAACATTAAAAAAAATAAAGCTACACTAATCAAGACAATGTGATATTAGTGCAAAGACAGACATGGAGATAAATGAAAGAGATCAGAGTTCAGAAGGAGTTCTTACAACACATGGCTAGT